GAGCCTCGCCAGGAGCTTCTCTGAATCACCTCTTCACTCCCCGTGAACAGTATTCACCTCACACACGTTAAGTGCCACCACCACTACCCCACCCCCACCTCCAGAAGAAGTAACAGGGTCAGGAATCAGCCCTCTGGGAGCCTGGTGGACATGCATAGTTCCATGAATGGACATGCGCACGCTCTGCTCTACTGAGTGTGCGAGTGGCGGTGGCTGGATTGGGATTTTGTAGGAATGGCCCCTGCTGTTCCAGGACTCTAGAGATGCTGCATGGCCATGCTTGCTCACAAGCTCTCTTTCAGTAGCCAGGCCCTTAATGTAAATACTGTCCCCTTTAGAGTGGCATCCTTATGCTACACACAGGCTAACAACCATGCACAGCCCTGGCACGAGGGTATGGCTCAACAAAGTCTTCCTGTTAAGGAGGGAACAGGTAATCTGGGCACTAGAGCTGTGGGGGGGGAGGGGGGGACCCTAACAGTACTGCAGTATCCGTAAGTCTCCACTGAACCTGGGATTCTTGTCTTGCTGTGAGGCCTGACTCTCAAGGTTCACATTTCTGTTTCACTTTTCCCCAACACCTGAGATGACTTGGGAGACTTTCTATTCTTGGTAACCAAGAAGCCTAACCAAAACCCTTACAAATCTCATGTATGATTAGCTTAAAATTAGGGCCTGACTGGTGGCTTCACCTGCTGATGCAAAGGCCCAAAGACAAATAGGCTGTGAAGTTCCTCAAACACCACGTGCTCTACGAATTAGAGGTCATATTGATGTGTAATTTAACCACATAAGGAAAATTTTCACAGTTAAATATATTGCTTATGGTTAATGATATACTGATAAATTTTACCAAATAAAAATAATAATTTTACACTGACACAAATAGTTCATTTTTAAACATAGTTCTTATGAGCCATCCTACCCAACCTAATTACCTAATATACAGATACGTGTTACACCTTACATTGTTTGGCATACCAACTTAGTTATACCAATCACAATTCCAACCAAAACTCCAAGCTAGTAAATATATTTAGTATTTGAGAACGTTTTAGTTATTAGTAATCAAATATTCATTAAAATGGCTTAAGCAATCTTAACAATTTTCTAACACATAAACGCTTTCTTCTCATTATTTAAGAAACACTAGAACTCTGTTAGATAAGAAACCAAAAAATAAAAAAATTAGAAAAAGGAAAAAAAAAAGAAACCAAGCCCAAGCCAACAGGCTCACCAAAATCACGCTTAAATAGGACAAGCAAAACTATAAATTTAGAATAATTACCAAGATACTAATAATTAACAACCACTTAAATATGATTCAAAAGGAATTCCTGGTTTATTGAAAATCCCTATGGTCAACCAGAGCACAGCATTATCAGAAACTGATTATGTAAGACAATAGTGCATTGTTTCAGGGTGTATGCATATGTGTAATGAAGTTCACAGCTATGTTATACTAATGACAAACATCTGAATTTTCTGCTATCTTAACCTTTAAATCAACTGCAAAAGAAGCTGCCAAAAGCAGTCAGTAGGAAAGCACGCAATTCCCAAAAGAATTTTGTATATACAACTCATTTTAATACTTAAATGTTTTTTTTTAATTAATGAAATTTGAACAAGATGTTAAAGATTCAAAACTAATTTGTAAAGTAATGGGTGCTTACTAAGTCCCTAATAATACCCAACATACACTGGTTTTTAGAAAAGCACAGGTCATATTCTTTTTTTTTTCATATTCTTGTATGTATATATTTTCAGCACCTGGCATATTTCTGTTATTACATACAATATTCTGTTATTACATTCAATATTACATACAATTATGGCAGGACCTGACAGTGGTTACTGTCCCACTTTTTAAAAATTTTTTTTTATTATTATTGATTTTAGGAAGAGAGGGAGAGAGAGATAGAAACATCAATGATGAGAAAGAATCATTGATCGGCTGACTCCTACATGCCGCCTACTGGGGATCAAGCCTGCAATCCAGGCATGTGCCCCTGACCTGGAATTGAACCCGGGACCCTTCAGTATGCAGGTCTATCCACTGAGCAAAACCAGTTAGGACCTGTCCACTTTTTAAAAGTGTTTGACTGAGCAATAAGTCAAGGTTGAAAAAAAACACAAAAAAAACTGGTGCACATATTTCTTGATTTGGATTACCTTTTTGTTGTGAATTGGTTCTAGTTACTCTAGCTACCTTGAAACAAACACTGGCAAAGACTATATGGGATTGAAATTACATGACTCTATTTCTACTGAAAAAATAATACATTTCAACTGTTCATATTTCATTGTAAAAGATATACAACTTTAGAGATTTGCTCTAAGTTTTGAAAGCAAAGTGAATCAGAAATCACACTTCATGAGGAGACAGCCTGGAAGGGAGATATTTATGCTACACTGAGTTCCCCTTGCCACTACAAACCTCTCAACAGTTTACTACATTAAAACAATTGAGATGGGAAAAGATGTGTGATAATAAAAACCCTTTGAGGCATTTGTCAAGCAGATTATCTCTCAAACTACACCGTGGTTTAGAAACCTTTGAACAGGAATTTGGTGTGTTAATCTATGTGCACACTCATTTCACATTTTCTCTTACCTCTGACTTTTTAAATCTAAACCATACAGTAAGTCATTCTATCAGACGACTATATTTGTTTGCATGACTACTGAAAACACTATTGCAGTGCAATTATATTACACATGCAAAATTGCTGATTTTAGTGAGCTTCTCCCCTATCCCTCCGCCTTCTACCTGCCTCACTCCACTCTCACACCCGCCCACACACATTCTCCCCCTATTAAATCCCAAAGGAAACTCTGAGTCCAGTGCTAGGATTTTCTTTTCTATAGGGTAGGCCTGCTTGACTTTTTAATAATGATATTGAAAACTTTTTAAACCCATGATGCAGACAGTGGGGTGGTGAGGGCCTGGGGCGGAGGGCAGGGGTGGGCTGGAGGGAGTCGATGGGGGCAAAAAGGGGACATATGTAATACTTCCAACAATAAAGATTTAAAAATAAAGTAAATAAATAAAAGAAAACTTTTTAAAGACTGCTAATGTATATATAGTTTCCCACACTAAAACCACAAATAAACACCCTACTTTGTTTAATATTTCAACACAAACTAAATTTCTCATATGAGACAGAAGAATATCAGTTCAAAGGAGTCCTTAGAAGTCACAATGTGTAAATACTTCTGATAATAGAACAAATTAATGTCAAGACACAGCCAATAACATTAAAAGCCTCCATGCAACGTTGCCTGTCAAAGGGTATCTGTACAGCAGCTCGGAGAAGTGGCATTAGTGGAGGAGCACTACAACTGCCATCCAAGAAAATCATTAGGCCTCAACTGTTACTCCCCTCCCCCATCCTCATCTTCTCGTCCTTCAAAGCAATCAACCAGTAGAAGGCGCTATTCTGCAACCTGCCATGACACACGCCAGCCTCCATCCCTGGCCCAGGGCCGGGTTCACCCCAGGTAGACCCTCTCTGCCTATTATTCCCTGTCCACTGTTGAAGAAAGCCTCTACATTAGCATCCAAAGCAGAAAACCAGATCTCGTCTGATAACCCCTATTCATAAAACAGAACAAAACACAGTGACAGCTCAAGAGCCAGCAAACCTATCGAACCATCAGACCACTAATCTGTCAAAACACCCACACACACTTTGCTAAATATTAACCTCAAACGCGATCTTAACCATAACAGACCACCTACTTCTACCCAGAAAAGACGACCCTGGTCACAGTCAATCCATACAATAAATGAGAGTCAACGGAACAAATCACTGTCCCCAACAAAGTCAGGGGCCAGGAGGAAGGCGAGCACTGACGGTCAGGCCGCCACACATGAGGAGGGGTTTCATCTTGACGTGCACAAAAAAGGAAGAGCAGCAGAAACCAGGTTTGCAAAGGGAAGACACGAAGGTGGAGGCGTCTGAATATGTTTCTGGGTGTCCTTTAGCTTCCAATGTACTCTTCTGCCTCTTACAAGGTCGCCAAAAAGGCCAGGCATGAGATGGGTGGGAAGAAAGCTGAAAAAGCAATGCACCCACCCTTCCCCCATCTGCTCTCCTCTGTCCCCAGAAGAGCTGTGTTTGTCTGTGCAAACCTAGTCCCAAATAGGGGGGAGAGAGAATGAATGTGTGTATGAAGAACAATGAGCCCTCAGCCTGGGGGAGGGAGGGAGAGAGAGAGAGAGAGAGAGAGAGAGAGAGAGAGAGATCGCGCTGCTGCCTCTTTTCCCTGCGACCTCAACAACAGGGAGAGCTGGAAGCCAGCTTTCCATCCAGCCTAGGCCGTCAGAACCAGAACTGGTTTATAATTGACGGTGGAATCACCTCCCCAAGCAAACCCGGGGGAGGCAATAGCCACCCGAAGGTGATTTTATTATTGCCTAGACCCAGCCTCTCTCCCCTCCCCCAAACAGGCTGAGGCTAAAGAATCCGGGGGACTCCAGACAAAAAGGTCCCTCTTGACACGGAAAGCAACTATGGAAACTGTTTCCAACCTAAGCACAGGATGCATTCATTTGTGTTGCATTAAAATGTGTGTTTTATTACAATTCCCCAAGTGCCCCTTTTACTAGATACCTTTTTGGGGGGTTTTTAAAAAAAAAAAAATTTTTTTTTTTTTTTTTTGCTTTGGAGAAAGCTATTTCAGTTTCCACACAAAACTACTTTCTAAATGTACCTTAAAATAGTAACACACACTGAAACATTTCAGACACCCAGTTTCTCAAGGACACATTTTGCTTAAATCAATGTTTGAAGTCTGTGATCCAGGAGGAAAAAAAAAAAACAACTGTAAGCAAACCCTTGGAAAAGAGGCAGAGGGAAATGACAATTCCACAATGAATCATGTTGTGTTCCTTTCAACAACTTCTCCAGCAACCGGTTTCAAAGGAAACCTAAAACATGAAACACTTCCCGCCCCCTCCAAACACACACCATCTATGCAAAACGGCTTCTCTCGTTTCCAAGCCTTTCAACATTTTAAAATAGGAGCCGCTCTCTTTCCGAGAGCAGAACTAAGACGTGAGCATAAGAATCCTTATTCCGCTGCAAGTTGAGTTTGGTTTCGTAATTCAGTCATCGGAGAACTAGAGATTGAGAACAAAAACAAAAACAAACAAACAAAACAAAAAAAACAAAAAAAAGGGGAGCGCATCTTGGCCAACGTGGGAACGAAGACTTGCAGGAAAGTCCTCCCCCAGGACCCCGAGTCCGCAAACGCGCCGGGGACGCTGCGCTCCGCCCGGCCGCCTCGCCGCTCCCTGTGCCGCCGGGGACGGAGCCCCCGGGGCAGCTCAGCCTCCGCGGACGAGCCCGGCGGGCGCAGGAACCAGCCGCCGGAACCAGCCGCCGGGAGCCGGCCGGACGGCCCGCGGGACGGTCACCCGGCCGCGCCCCCCGCCCTTTATTCCCGGACGTGAGCGGCGCCACACCGGCCTCCGCTCGCGGGCTCGCAGCGGACCGGGATCCACGCCCACCCCGGGCCCCACGCCCCGCGCCCCGGACCGGGGGCCAGAGAGGCGAGCAGCCGCCACGCGCGGGCAAGTTGGAGACTTACCTTCCCCGGATGCGCTACACCATCAATGGAGGTGTGTTCGGCCGGCTCCCGGGAAAGTGGGGGGACGGGGCGGGAGGCCCACGGGGCTGGGGGCCGCCGGGCTCGGGCCGAGAGGGGCCGGCCGCGGGGGCGGAGGCGGGGCGGCGGGGCTTCCCTCCCGTGACCTTCCGTGCGGGGTCCACCCGCTCCCAGCTCCGCGCTCGGCCGGCCCTTCAGGAGCGGGAGACCGGGACCATGTCTGGTTTTGTTTGCTGAGGGCGAGGGGCTCCCTGAGGATGCTGGTGATTTTTTCCCTCAACTCGGAGAGAAAACGAGGCAGAGACAATGTGGGAGGCGAGCGAGCGGGGGGAGGCGGAGGCGGGGACGGGACCGAGCCGGGCGAGCGTCTCGGGCGTGCGGGAGGAAGACGAAGCGGGGAGCGCAGGGGGCGGCTCGCGAGCGTCTGTGGGAGCAGCGGCGCCTCAGCGATGGAGGCCGAGCCGCGGCGGGGTTGCTGCACCGACCCGCCGCCCACTCCGCGCTCGGGCCCGGCCCACCTCGCAGTATCGCGCCTCTCTATTGGCCCCTCGCGGCGTGACGCGCGCGAAGGAAGGACCAATGGGAGACGGAGATCGGGCGGAGGGGCGGGACCTCTCCTTTTTTTTTTTCTTTCTAATAAAATGGGCAGAAGAGAAGGTGGGGAGCGGCCGGCTTCTGGCGACGCCGCGGCCCGGGCTGGAGCGCGCGCTACGGGACGCGGCCGGGCGGTGGGCTGGGCTCCGCGCGGGGCGGGGGCCGCGGCGTCGCGGGCAGGTCCGGGTGCAGGATGGGCCGCGCGGTCCAGTTGCTCCGGTTACTACCAGGGTCACGATCTGCCTTTTGAGCCACGTAAGAGGCGGATTCATGGCCCCGGGGGGTGCGGAGTGGGTTCCAACAATTCGCTAAGGACTCTCGAAACCCTGAGGAGCATTAACGTTTTCAAAATTAGCCTATGGCAAAAGATTAAGAAAGAGGAAAAGGAAATTGGCGGATCGCGCTGCCTTTTCGAAAAGAGTCAGAAGAAAAGCCTTCAAAGTCTCATCAGGGAATAAAGAAGGGACTGTACCCGCCGACAGGGGGGATTTTAGAAAGAGAGAGCGGTGTACACAACTCTGTGCCGTGAGTTTGGGGGGTGGAGGGAATTTTTAAAAAATCGAAACACAGTATCACCTTTTTGTCTTTGAGAAACATTGTTTTCTCCCATTTCCCCGAAGACAGAAGTCACAGGGTCTCTGATGCCATTAGGGGAGTGAGGGGCAGGCCAAATGCTCATATTCTATTTAATGTAAGTTATAGGATTGAGGGGTCTTGGAGATTTTAATTATGATTAGCAGTTTTTGAAATGCATAGCATGTTTACTGAGTTCTTTCACAGACCCCAGCACGAACCCAGGGTGAACCATCCATCTATTGTTTGTTTGTTAATATACTTTAAATGCTTTTTGGTGTCCTTATGCCACACACTTCTCCTGAAGGAGTTCAGATCTCTATATAAAAGAATAATTAAGGGATCGAGCATAGCACAAAATAACTAACTCATTTTTTCATATAAAGTGATCATTTTTCTCTTTGGAATGTCTATTCAGATTATAATTTCACATCCAACACTTTTTGTAATGTTTTAATTGATTTCAGAGAGAGGAAGGAAGAGGGATTGAAACATCAGTGAGAGAATCATTGATCCGCTGCCTCCTACACACCCTCTACTGGGGATCTCATGTGCCCTGACCAGGAATCCAAATGTGACCTCCCACAACCACTGAACCACACTGGCTGGAGCAACATTTTCTTTTAGGAAAAATTTAACTAGCAGATATTATTGGACTGTGACCCGCGAGACCTAAAAACAAATAGGACTTTGCCATTACCTTTCCAAGTAATTTTTTAAATGTTTTAATTGAATGTATTGAGGGTGACGTTGGTTAATAAAATTATATAGGTTTCAGGTGTACAATTCTATAATACATCATCTGCATATTGTGTTTAGTGTGTTCACTGCCCGAAGTCAAGTCTCCTTCCATCACCATTTATCCCTCTATACCCTCTTCTACCTCCGCTCCACCCAAGCCCAGGAACTTTAAGGAAGAAGAACCCTGTCTGCTGCAATCCTTCAGCTGTGAAACGGGAAAACTGGTTAATACTGCCTTATATACCTAATAATGTGAGAACTGAATTCTCACAGCATAATAGATTCAATAAACAGCTCTCCACATCCCAGATATGGATGAAACTATTCAACATCAGTTTGGAAATAGGGGTAAAGGGTATTAGATGGCTTTGGTTTCATTCAAAATCCACATTTACAGGAGCACGATTTCTCACCAAGGTTCAGTGGGTGCTGGGCAAATGGACATCGCGTCCCAGATGATGCCTGTGGACCCTGTGGGTCATGCAGCAGTGACGAGAGGGGCTCCGGAGATCTGGAAACTACATTCACTGTGGTACGTGCGAGGGGCATCCTTTTCATTTGTTTATAACAATGTCGATTTAGAAATCTCGAAGTTCCACATAGTTGTAAAGCATAATAGTATGGTATCGGGCCATAAAATTAGCAAACTAGACCTGTTTAACAAGCCCACACAAGAGCTGTGGTCCAGCCAGACAGCCAGAGAGTACATACTAGTGCAGCCTTCCTTCTGAGCATCTGAGAGACTGACAAGGTCATAATAATACATTTTAATAAGAACATCTATGAAACCGTGGATCAAAAGCTTATGTGTCCCAAGCATCAGGCCATGCATGTTGCACCCTTAGCCCATTTAGTCTTGACAACAGTCCATGAAGTGTCATTATTATTATCTCCATTTTAAAGGTCAAGAAACTGGTCTTAGAGGAGTTAAATAACTTGCTTAAGGTAAAAGAGGTCAGATGGGTTGTTTTCCCATTATGAAATTAGAGTTTCCTGACCTAGCCAGTTTGGCTCAGTGGGTAGAGCATCAGCCTACAGACTAAAGGGTCCTGGATCCTTACCTAGGCCCTGGTAAGGGTACACGCAGGAGGCAACCAATTGATGTGTTTCTCTCACATCGTTATTTCTCTCTTTCCCTCTCTACTCTCTCTAAAAATCAATGGAAAAATATCCTCAAGTGAGGATTTTTTTTAAAAAGTTTCCTGTTCTCTTTCCAGCAAGCTTTAGAAAATGGGGATGACTTTGGTTACTGAATCTGAAAATATCAAGGACTTTGGGTAGTTGTTTTATGTATCTTAGTACAGATAGAAGTGGTTTTATTTTGTATTCAGCGGTATCAGAAATGCAATACCAGCCCAGCCAGTGTGGCTCAAGGGTTGAGTGTCGACCTGTAGACCAGGAGGTCACGGTCCGATTCCCAGTCAGGGCACATGCCCAGGTTGTGGGCGCCATCCCCAGTGGGGGACGTGCAGGAAGCAGCCGATCGATCAATGATTCTCTCTCATCACTGATGTTTCTCTCTCTCCCTCTCCCTTCCTCTCTGAAATCAATAAAAATATGTTTAAAAAAGAAAAGAAATGCAATACCATTATTTAAAAGAAGCCAGGGGGGAAGTTTAATAAATGATATGGCAACCAGATAGTTATATAGAAAAACACAGTCAATGCAGAACATTTTTTAAACTGTATTCTTATTATTCCTAAACTCTCCCCAAAATTACAGATGGATATTTTTAAATGTAAAAACTGAATCACTAAACCACTATTTCTTAGGCTGAGTTTACTGGTGTTTATATTATTATTGTCCTCTATAACCTACATATAGATTATGCTTATTCTTTTGTATATGTCAGATATTTTATGATTTTTTTTAAATCAAACCGTAAAAGTATTAAAGGAATACTAAAATTTTTTCAAATCATGATTGAGGAAGTTCTGTCTAAGCATGACAGGAAACCCAGAAGCCATAAAGGAAAAACACCAATAAATTTTACTGCGTAAATATTTTACATCTCTGTAAGGCATAAAAAACACCAAAGCAATGAATGGAAGAAGCAGAGAGAAAATATTTTTAACACCTAAAATAAAGAGCTAACTTCCTTAACACAATATAATCATAATGAAATAAATGCAAATTAAAATCATCTCTTAGATTAGAACTCTTTTTTACTTCATAACATCCAGTATTGATAGGGATGTGTGAAAACAGGCACTCTGATGCATTGTTGGTGAAAAAATATAACCATACCATTTTTTAGAACACAATTTGGCACTATCTATGAAGATATTAAATAGCCATACCCTTTGGCCCAGCAATTCTAGAAAGCCATTCTACAAATAATTTTGTATAACTATACACAAATACATACAAGAAGCTTGCAACATTACTTATAATAGTGAAAGCCTGGAAAAACCTGAACATCCACCAATGAATAATGTTTAAACATACAATGGCATACTTGACAGGGTTCAAAAAGAATTAGGTAAATCTGAATTGATATGGAATGATAACCAGGATTCAGAGTTAAATGAAAAAAGCAAGTCACACAACAGTTATGTAAAGTATAATTCTCTTTGTAATTTTAAAAGGACAAATTTGTATATGCTTCAGAAATGTCTAGAAACATAGCCACCAGGAGAATGTAGTCCACTGGGCGCGGAACGGAGAGTGAGGAGGGGACAGGAGACTGACTTTTACTTCAGTCTACTGTTTTGTTTGATTTTTTTTCTCTTTACATCAAGCATGTATAATTTTTAAAATAAAAATAAAAGAAGAAATTTGCCCTAGCTGGTTTGGCTCAGTAGATAGAGCATCAATTAGTTCGATTCCAGTCATGGGCACAGGCCCAAGTTGAGGGCTCAGTCCCCAGTAGGGGGCATGCAGGAGGCAGCCGATCAATGGTTCTCTCTCACCATTGATGTTTCTCTCTTTTTCTCCTCCCTTCTTCTCTGAAATTAATAAAAATATATTTTTTAAATAAATAAATAACTCTCTCTCACACACACAATTTAAGTTCTATGAACATTTCACTGGCAAGCAGTCTTCATAATTCACCAGAAGTACTCAAGCTTTAGAACGAGTAAATTATTTACGTCTAAAATGTCTTACGATGCCCTGGCCCGGTGGCTCAGTTGGTTGGAACATCATCCCATTCACCAAAAAGGTTCCAGGTTTGATTCCTCATCAAGGCACATCCTAGGTTGTGGGTTTGATACCTGGTCCGGGTGCATGCAGGAGGCAGCGGATCGACGTTTCTCTCTCGCATCAATGTTTTTCTCTAGCTCTTTCCCTTCCTCTCTCTCTAAAAGTCAGCAAAACATATCCTCGAGTGAGGATTTTAGAAAATGTCTTAAGGACAGCTGGGGTGCTTTATCAAGTCTGGTAACAAACTGAAGCTTGTTCTAGGCATTGTCTTTGAAATCGCCTTCCAAGTTGATGTAGTGCAAACACAAGCCGGTAATGAGCGTCAGTTGCCTACCATTGCATGTGAGCAAGACGGGGACTGGCTACTCCCTCCCCACAGGGGTCCTGCTGCAGGCGCTCACCACTCACTCACCTTGCATTTACCCACAGTGGGTTTTCGCTTTACAATTTGTTGTAAATCAGAATTGCTCCCTCTCCGGTCTTTTCCCTCATGCCACGTAAGTACCCTTGACAGACAGCCTTTCTCAAAGCCCCTGCACTGAGTCGGAATGGAGAATGGGTGATTATTGGTTGTCCCAGGAGGCTGTGTGAGGCATGCAGATACATACAAAAGTGAAACAGCTTTTCCCAAAGAGAAGGATCACAAACCAGAAGCCTTCTTCCATTGTTTGGATGTGACTAAGGGTGGCTAGCAATTAAGGTTCTTGATTCAACTCCAGACTCCAGTGACTTTTCTTTCCACCAAAGCAGAAGTGGGTCTGGTTACCAACACGCTGACAGATGCATTTGAAGGAATCTGTGCTCCACTGAACCACATCAGACGCAGTGGAGTGACGCCTTCTCTGAGTCACTTGGAGCCAGCCAGTGCCCCAGCATGCTGCCCAAGGACACTGAGCCGTTTTCTGGACGAGGTCTAAATCCAGCATCTGACTTCTGACCACTAGTGGTTACCGAAAAGTCTCCTAGGGCTTTGTGGGAGAATTAAGGGGAGGAGACGCTGAGTTTCATTGTCCTGGCCTAGTTCCAAGTCTGATCATTACATTAGCAGGCCTCCTCCTTTGTCTGCGATCTCGCCGAGACGTGCTAGTCCACAGCCCCTTATAAACAGCTGTCCACTGTGAGCCGAGTGAGCCAGAGAGCCAGCAAGTTCCACCCTGGGGGACGCTGCGTTTCAAGGTAAACACTTCCTCCACATCTATCCGTAAATTACTTACATTTACGTTGGAGAAAAGGCATGGTTTTCTAAGGAAAATGAGGGCGTAATTATGGGGAGTTAAAAATGATCCACAAACACGATTTTGTCTAAATGGTGAACAAAGAAAACTGGCGTTGGTCACAAAGGGGCCCTCGGGAGGAGGAGTCCAGAAGAAATGATGCATTGTAGAGTCTCACGGGTCATTTGGGGGATCCAGAATTTAACCATACAGCATTGATGTGGCAGGTGCTGTTGCCACCAACATTCACTTATTTTTTTTAATATTTTTTATTGATTTTTTACAGAGAGGGAGAGGATAGAGAGTTAGAAACATCAAAGAGTGAGAAACATCGACCAGCTGCCTCCTGCATACCCCCTACTGGGGATGTGCCTGCAACCAAGATACATGCCCTTGACTGGAATCGAACCTGCCATTCGGTCCGCAAGCCGACACTCTATCCACTGTGCCTAACCGGTCAGGGCAACATTCGCTTCTTTAGTCCAAGCATATTATACACACAGAGCAAACAGGCAGGTAACTCTAACCCAGGAGAAATTTCAGCCCCTGCATCCACACTTCGGTGTCTCTGTGTTGGGCATGTCTGGGCACTCACTTGAATGCCTCCCTCTTTTGCATTCAACATGTAAGACATTTTAATTTTAAAATACCCACATTCCCAGCCCTCTCAACTCCTAACACAACAACTTCCAGCATAAATTCTGCTATGTTATTTTTTTTTTCTTAAAAAGAGCGTTTTAACTTGGAAGCATCCAAAATTCCCTTCTATAAGGGAATGGATAAACTGTGGTTCATCCATTCTATGGAATATTATTCAGCACCAAAAATAAATGAGCTGCCAAGCCATGGAAAGGCATGGAAGAACCTTAAAGGCATTACTAAGCGAAAGAAACCAATCTGACAAGGCTGCATGATACTGTGTGGTTCCAACTACATGACATTCTGGGAAACACAGAACTATGTCTGGGAAAGACATTGTGAGAAAGGAAGGAAAGGCAGTGGTTGGCAGGGATGCGGGGGTGGCGGGTGAACAGGTGGAATACGGGGTTTTAGGGCAGTGAAACTGATCTGTATGATACTATAAAGCAGCGGTTCTCAACCTGTGGGTCGTGACCCCTTTGGCGGTCGAACGACCCTTTCACAGGGGTCGCCTAAGACCATCCTGCATATCAGATATTTACATGATGATTCATAACAGTAGCAACATTACAGTTATGAAGTAGCAACGAAAATCATTTTATGGTTGGGTCACAACATGAGGAACGGTATTTAAAGGGCCAGAAGGTTGAGAACCACTGCTAAGGGTAGCTCCATGTCATTATACATTTGTCAAAGTCCACAGGATGTACAACGCACACACAGTGAACCCTATTGTAAACTATGGACTTTAGTTAATAATGTATGAATATTGGCTTATGGATTGTAATAAATGGACCACACTAATGTAAAATGTTAATAACAGAGGAAACTAGGGGTGAGGTGAAGGAGTATAGGGCAACTCCACTTTCTGCTCAATTTTCCTGTGAACCTAAAACTGCTCTAAAAAATAAAGTCCGTTGATTACAAAAAGAAAGAACATTTTCGTTCTGTGCTTTGTGTTGTAAGGAATGGAGACATATCTCAAGTAACAGGAGATTATGTGAGAATGTTTCTACTAGGAAGACCAGGCAAAGCTGAACCATGTGACAGAAGGAAAAGAAGGGACTAGAAGGAGAGAGGAGGCCACAGGAAGGACGGGACCCCAGCCCCCCACCATTAACATCGCTGGCCCACTGTCTCCTCATCAGTCCCACCTGCTGGCCTCCTCACCCTTTATATGTAGCTCTTCCCCACTTCAAAGTGTCTGCTTTCTCATAACTTCCACTCCCTCATCATCGTGGCTTGCCTGTGGCCTCTCACGGCCTCTCTGCTTTTCCGTGGCTTATGACTTACCAGTACAGCTGCTTCTGCTGCCTGCCTCGTGGCGTGAGTGTTTCCTACTCAACATTGCTGAGAGGGAGAAGGCTGATGGCCCCGCTCATCATTTTCGGCCTGACCCTGTCCGGGTCCCGGGCCCCGTGGGGTGTTAGTAGCCGTGGAGGGACAAGGGTGTCCTGGGCCAAGCCCAGTGCTCAGGGCGGCCTCCCTCTAGAAGGGTCGGTGGGTGTGGTGGGTGTGGCAGCATTCTCCACGTGCTTTTGGAATGGCTTGTGTCCAAAAAATGACAAGTAAAACTGAATCTTAGCAACTAAGTATTTCAATACATATTTTAAAATACATTTTTTATTATTTCAGAGAGGAAGGGAAAGAGAGAGACATAGAAACATCAATGATGAGAGGGAATCATCGACCGGCTGCTTCCTGCATGCTCCCTACTGGGGATCGAGCCCACAACCCAGGCATGTGCCCTTGACCAGAATCGAACCGGGACCCTTCAGTCCTCAGGCCGACGCTCTATCCACTGAGTCACTGAGCCAAACCAGCTAGGGCTCAATACATTTTTTAATAGCCCTGGCTGGTTTGGCTCAGTAGGTTGAGCGTCAGCCTGCGGAGCGAAGGGTCCCTGGTTTGATACAGGTCAAGGGCACATGCCTTGATTGCAGGCTCCTCCCCAGCCTGGTCCCTGTTTGGGGCGCATGCAGGAGGCAACCAATCGATGTGTTTCTCTCACATTGATATTTCTGTCTTTCCCTCTCTCTTCCACTCTCTAAAAATCAATGGAAAAATATCTTTGGGTGAGGATTTAAAAAATAATAATAATTACCTTTACAAAGGATATTTGGTCTCTCCTAAAGAGAAGACCTCCCCCCCCCCCAAAAAAAAAAAAGCAGTCCACAAGTTACAGAGTGTTCATATTCTCTTGATCAATAAAAATTCTGCAAGATGCCCGACTGGCATGCTCAGTGGTTGAGCATCAAACTATGAACCAGGAGGTCATGGTTCGATGCCTAGTCAGGGCACATGCCTGGGTTTCGGGCTTGATCCCCAGTAGGGGGCGTGCAGGAGACAGCCAATCAATGATTCTCTCTCATCATTAATGTTTCTATCTCTCTCTCCCTCCCACTCTGAAATCAATAAAAATATGTATTTAAAAAAATTCTGTAAGGCCCTAACCGTTTTGGCTCAGTGGATAGAGCGTCAGCCTGTGGACTCAAGGGTCCCAGGTTCGATTCCAGTCAAGGGCATGTACCTTGGTTGCGGGCACATCCTCAGTGGGGAGTGTGCAGGAGGCAGCTGATCGGTGTTTCTCTCTCATCAATGTTTCTAACTCTCTATCCCTCTCCCTTCCTCTCTGTAAAAAATCAATAAAATATATTTTTTTAAAAAAATTCTGTAAGAATGATCCCTAAAACTCCTCCCCCAAAAGGCCTTCCAACCAACGTCCAGAAGAGCCCCCTTGCCTTCGATCTAACAGCAGATTCTCACTAACCTCCAGGAGAGGCGAGAGAAAGGCACAGAGAGGATCTTGGCAGCCCAGTGACGCGCTCTCTACCCTCTCTCCTGGTAACAGGTGACTCATTGTAATCCCAGGCGAAGGGAGAAATAGTCTGGGATCAGGGAGGTGACTAGAGTGACTTTCTCCCAGGACATAAAAACTTCAGGTGAGTTGATTACCACAAAGAAAGGAAATGAATTTCAGTCTCTATTATTAAGAATAAAATAGAGGAACAAAGAAACGAGGGAGAGCAACAGGCTCGCAGGTCATGGCCAAGAGAGGTTAAGACATACACACTAACCTACCACAGAGCGAGATGCTCTGATAGAGAAAAGCAAAGTTGATAGTCACCCGGTTGTGTTTTACAAAATCTTATACAAAATACAATCTCAATTAAAAAAATAGTAATTTGTCAAAATTTTACATGTTTTAAAACACTTCTTTAAGGCACTTGTGATAATATATTAATGAAAATGCACTCCCAAACCCAGGATAGAAATTAAAAAGTATTGATTAAAGACAAAAAATGTGAAATGCAAAACTAAAGAAATTTTAGAACAAGATATAGGAGAAGCTGTTGAATAAGACCCCAAAAGCACAAACTGTTCAAAGACACATTTGACTAATATTAAAGACTTCCTAGAAGTTATATCAAAATGAGTGAAAGTCACAAATTGGGAAAAGACCATTGCAATCTCCATAACCATGAAAGGGTTAGTGATCAGAATATGGAAAGACAGCAGGTAAGCCTATGTGGAAAAGACAAGCCAATAAAAAAGTGGGCAAGGAATAAAGAGTAAGCAATGCATACAATAATCTTGTGTCCAGGAAACATAAAAAGATGCTCCGTTTTGTGCCGGCAGGTGTGGCTCAGTAGCTGAGCTTGGACCCATGAACCCGGAGGTCACAGTTCGATTTTCAGTCAGGGCACATGCCTGGGTTGTGGGCTCCATCCCCAGTGTGGGGTGTGCAGGAGGCAGCTGATCCATGATTCTCTCTCATCATTGATGTTTCTATCTCTCTCTCCCTCTCCCTTCCTCTCTCTGAAATCAATAAAATCATTTTTTTAAAAAAAAAGATGCTCAGTCTCTTGCCCTAACCGGTTTGGCTCAGTGGATAGAGCGTCGGCCTGTGGACTGAAGGGTCCCAGGTTCGATTCCGGTCAAGGGCATGTACCTGGGTTGCGGGCACATCCCCAGTAAGGGGTGTGCAGGAGGCAGCTGATCGATGTTTCTCTCTCATCGATGTTTCTAACTCTCTATCCCTCTCCCTTCCTCTCTGTAAAAAACCAATTAAAAATATTTTTTTAAAAAAAGATGCTCAGTCTCTCATGTCTTCATTCTAGACAATTCCAATATACACATAGATGATCCTTCTAAAACTTAATAGTAGCTGTGTGTGTGTGTGTGTGTGTGTGTGTGTGTGTGTGTGTGTGTGAACTGTGGTAAAGCACACATAAAATTTACCATCCTAACCATTTTTATGTGCACAGCTCAGTAGTTGAGCAACAATCTTCAGAACTTTTCATCGTGCAAAACTCTATACCAGCCATGGGCAAACTACGGCCCGCGGGCCGGATCCGGCCCATTTGAAATGAATAAAACTAAAAAAAAAAGACCGTACCCTTTTATGTAATGATGCTTACTTTGAATTTATATTAGTTCACACCAACACTCCATCCATGCTTTTGTTCCCGGCCCTCCGGTCCAGTTTAAGAACCCATTGTGGCCCTCGAGTCAAAAAGTTTGCCCACCCCTGCTCTATACCCATTCAATAACAACTCCTCATTCCCACTCCTCCCCCTGCCTCTGGCAACTACCATTCTGTCTGTCTCTATGAGTTTGACTACTTTAGATGCCTCAAATATGTGAAATTAAACAGTATTTGTCTTTTTGGGACTGACTTAGTTCACTTCACGTAATGTCTTTATAATCACTTCCTACGGCTGTCATAACAAATACCACAGGCTGATGGTTTAACAGCAGAAATGTATGTCCTCTCCGCAGAGGCTGCGAGTCGAAGATCAGGGCGCCAGCAGGGCTGGTTCTCCCTGAGGCCCGGCCTTGGTTTCGGACGGGCGTCTCTCACTGTGGCCGCACACCGCCTTTTCTGTGAGCGGCATCCCCAGCGTCGCTTCCTCTCCTTACAAGGACACCAGTCCTGTTGGGCTAGGGCTCATGTAAAGGAAGTGACTAAGGTTATCCCATCTCCAAACACAGTCTCACTGCGGTTAGGGCTTCAACGTGTGAATTTGGGGGGAATCCAATTCAGTTTATAACAGCCTTCAAGGTTCATCCATGTTGTCACATGTATTAGAATGTATTTCTTTTTTAAGTCTACATCAGTGATGGCGAACCTTTTGAGCTCGGCGTGTCAGCATTTTGAAAAACCCTAACTTAACTCTGGTGCCGTGTCACATAGAGAAATTTTTTGGTATTTGCAACCACAGTAAAACAAAGATGTATATTTTTGATATTTACTTTATATATTTAAATGCCATTTAACAAAGAAAAATCAACCAAAAATAATGAGTTCGCGTGTCACCTCTGACACGCATGTCACAGGTTCGCCATCACTGGTCTACATAGTACTGTTGTGTGTATATACCACATTCCGTTTATCCATTCATCTGTTGGCGGATGTTTGGGCTGCTTCCCATGAATAATGCTGTTATGAACATGATGTACAAACACCTCTTTGAGACCCTGCTTTCAATTCTTTTGGGTATAATTCCAGAGGTGGAAT